TCCAGAAACTACACATTTTGCATTTTTTTTGGCTATTAATATTATGTATAAATTTTTATAACATGTATCAAACTGCAAGGAGCACCATCTATTCCTATTATTTCCCACAGTGCCTTGGCATAAAAAGGCATTTCATACCTATTTGCAGAATGTAATTGAGTTGAAATTAGTACTATAAACATATTCAACATCGCTCCTTGAACTTTATCCCAAACCCACTACCAAATGAGGACTTTGTAAGATAAGCCCTATCTTACTCATCTTTATGACCCTCAGGCCCCAGCACAGTAAAAAGTTAACATACACGGAAGAAAAAAGGGAAGGAAGAAGGGGGAGAGAGAAAGAGGAGGAAGGGAAGGATGAAAAAAGTAAACAAGGAAGGAGAATGAGAAGTAGGAACACACTAAGTTAATCTTTCTATTTAGATAATGGCAAACAAAAACCATTGTAAAACTATGCTCTTTTCTAGATAATGATTAATGATCCCAATTAGAAAGAGATAATGAAAAAAAAGAAAGGGGTAAAATATCATGAAAATAAAATACAACCAAGATCAACACAGAAAAGCTAGGACAACTCGGGTTACACTTCCTACCAGAATCAGTCAAGCACCCCTTGGTAGCCACCCAGTCAGCATCTCTGATTTCTGCTCACTGAGATGTGTTATCTTGGTAATACTGTGGCACTGAATATGCCACAGCAAAAATTTTGGAATTTTCTACTGGAGAAAATCAATAGGTTTCCATGGTTAGAAGAAACATAACAGAATTCCTTCCCTGAGAACCCGATGGGCACACAGGAGACATCAATGACATAATCACCAAAGGAGGCTTCCTGGTTATCTCCTCCTGGTTGCAGGAGGGCAGTGTTTCAGAGATGCCTTGAACACTTCTCCTTCTACTAAGGAATAATCACCAGGAACACACTGAAACCTTGTGGACATAAGTACATTGAGAAATGGGAAGGCAGAGAACCAAAACAAAGGGAGGGAGAGATAGTTGAAGGATTAAAAGAAACCCAACTCCAAAGGTCCTAATGCAAATGGCATCCACCTGTAACAGATCCATAAATAATTTTAAAGGCGGTAAAATAAACTACATATTTATAATTTACAAAGCATTTCCTTATATATTAAAGCAGCGATCAGATTTGGTGTAAAGTTGTGACCAAATTACTGTCTTGCATTCTCTCTTTTGACTTGTTTTGCCCCAACCCCACTCACTTTCTCAGATTATCTCTCTACACCTCTCCAGACAACCCAAAGTACGCATCCATTTCCAAACAGGAGACATCAATTGGAAGTATTGTTATTTTAGCCTGTATTGCAAAACAATCCAATGGAAGGTAGAATAAAATGTTGTGCAGGGCCCATGGGAATTTGGGTCCAAGATGCTATGATAGATCTCCTTGTCACCTCTAGTTTCTGTAATTCCATGAAACTCACTACATCTGGGTAATTTGTGCTTGTCACATAACAGCAAGACTAATAGGTACATCAGTCCAAAGAAAACTAGAAGCAGCATTTCAGGATCTAACCCAGAAGACATTACTTAGCCGCAGCTCAGAAACAATAATAAATTTGACTTTTAATTACCCTCATGTTGAACTTTACCTTCACCTTTAATTATTTTTCAATGTACATAATAAACTCAGACCAACAGTGGTATTCTTCAGCTAGAACTTATAAAATTTAGGGCAGAGGATGATTTCTATTTGTTTTTTCTGACCAGACACACTTTTAATCAAAATACACATAGAATAATCAAGGTTGCAGGAAGATTATATGGATGAGTGAACAAATTATCTGTAATTTAAGTCTAGTCACTTCTCATTTATTCAATACCTGACATTTACTGAGTATGTACTACATAAAAATACTTTACTAATTCATTTGGATTATCATAACTTAAAAAAATACATCTAAATGTTCTTAAGATATATTATATTTTAGAGTTTTCATTGGTCCAAGCAGTCATTCTATTAATCCACATCATGATCATATACTAAAAATCATATCATGTCTTTCTGACTATGCTCACAATTTTAGAAATCCCTGTTTAAAAATATGGTCTGAGCAATGTAAACTATTTTCTATATTTTAAAAGCATGATTAATTTCTAAAAGTTTGAAAATACATAATAAGCAGTCTTTCATATGCAAAATGATTTCCAGCCATCATAACTGAGGCTAAAATCTTCAACATAAAGGAAAGTAGTTAACAATGGTTTGTTTTTATGGGTAAACTAAAGCCAATACCATATTCTTTACCACATGCCTTACCTTGTCCAGGAAAAAAAAATCCTCATCTCCTTAACCCCAAAGTCTGGCCCCTGGGGCAGGTATGTATTTATAATAGAATAAATATTTAAAATGAAACACTGATAGAAAGAGGCATGTGATATAATAACAATAATAATAATATAATCTGGCATTTTACAGAATTTTGGGACAAGATAAAAGAGGCAGAACTGAAAATATTTAGAACTAGAGGCCGGTGCATGAAATTTGTGTATGGGTGTGTGTCCCTCAGCCCAGCCTGCACCCTCTCCAATATGGGACCCCTCAAGGGATGTCCAACTGCCCATTTATGCCCGATCCTGGTGGGCAGTTGGACATCCCTCTCACAATCCAGGACTGCTGGCTCTCAACTGCTCGCCTGCCCGCCTTCCTGATTGTTCCTAACCACTTTTGCCTGCCAGCCTGATCACCCCCTAACCACTCCCCTACCAGCCTGATTGATGCCTAACTGCGCCCCTGACTGCCTGGTCACCCCTAACTGCCCTCTGCAGACCTGGTCCCCCTCCCCCTCTCCCACTGCTCTCCCCTGCAGGCCTGGGTCCCTCAGAATGACCCTTTCCTACAGGCCTAGTCACCTCCAACTTCCCTCCTCTGCCAGCCTGGTCACCCCTAACTGCCCTCCCCTGCAGGCCTGGTCCCTCCCAACTGCCCTCACCTGCTGGCCATCTTGTGGTAGCCATCTTGTGCCCACCTGGCGGCAGGATCTTTGACCACATAGGGGTATTCATCTTGTGTGTTGGAGTGATGGTTAATATGCATGTTACTCTTTTATTAGATAGGATAGAGGCCTAGTGCATGGGTGGGGGCCAGCTGGTTTTCCCTGAAGGATGTCCCGAATCAGGGTGGAGGTTCTTTTGGGGTGTGGGGCTGCCTGGATGAGGGGCCTGTGGTGGTTTGCAGGCCGGCCACACCCCCTGGCAACCCAAGCAAAGGCCCTGGTATCTGGGATTTATTTATCTTCTACAATTGAAATTTTGTAGCCTGAAGTGGAGCCAAGCCTCCTGCTCACTCTGTGGTGGCAGCCATTTCTGTTGGGATTTATTTCTCTTTTATAATTGAAACTTTGTAGCCTTAAGTGGAGGCCAAGACAGGCCGGGGCTGCAGAAGCTTGGCTTTATTCATCGCTGGGGCCAACCCTAGCCTCCTGCTCTCTCCAGCTCGATGGCTCCTACCATTTCTGTTGGGATTTATTTATCTTTTATAATTGAAACTTTGTACTCTTGAGTGGAGGCCTGGGCCCACCAGGATGCATGAATAGCTTGGCTTCCTCCATCGCCCAGGAAACCCAAGCCTCTCTCCTGCTCTCTCTATGGCTGCAGCCATCTTTGTTGGGATTAATTGCATACTTTCTCCTGATTGACTTGTGGGTGTGGCTTGTGGTAAAGCAGTAATGGTTAATTTGCATATTACTCTTTTATTAGATAGGATAATCATCTGTCATCCTCCAGTATCTAATTTGGAGGAATGGAAATAAAGGCAAATTTCCAATAATTACTTTTTCAATCTAATGGGCAGATGCCAAACATTTCCCAGAACGTTCTAATAGGATAGATCCTTTCCCAAGGGCACAGTGTGGTCCAATCTAAATTTGGGTCCTTGGACACACCATGGGTTAAGTCTATGAAGTTCTAAAGGAATGAACCCAATTTTTTAAACTGGTACAGAAACAGCTTAACCTGTAAAATGTTTGGGGCTGAAAGGTGTTAATGAGTCATACTTAGCTGCAGAAAGATCATTGAGGCTGTTGGCCTCCTTCAGCACTGTGGGTGGGTGGGGTGAGGGACAGGTCTTAGTCTCCCCAGGGGTGAAGGTCTGTTAAATTTATCTTGCTTTGGAAATGCTCTATTTCCATTCCACACAGTCTCTTTAGAAATAATGGTAAAAACACTCCAATCTTCAAGTAAGAGCTTCAAACTAAGGAAAATCCAGAACATGTTTGTAATCACAGTCAACCCTTGGTTATTTATGCAAATAACAAAAAGCAGCGTCTTCTATACTAAAATGGTAGTTTATGTTTAACTTCACAACATGTTCTATATTGGGGGGTTTTCTTTTGTTTTTGGCAACATTAACATTTTCTTAATTAACTTGACCCCGATTATTGTTATAATTAGCATTCTCCGAGCATACGCACACTACTCATCGATTGCTGGTGGCGAGAATGCCCAGAAACATATTGTGGGATAAGGGAAAGGTGGTCTGAGATTATGTTTTTGCTGCTGGCAATTCAGAAACTAGATCATCTGCATCAATAAGGAGTTGGCTGTACTCATAACAGGCACATCCTAAAGCCAACTAATAACACATTAGTTAATTCCCTGTCCATAAAATATATGTGGCCTCGGTCATTATTTATTAAACTAAGTCTACCTTGCACATAGAATATATATATATTTTTTAAAACTAAGATTACCTAGCTTTCCTGTTTACGCCAATCTTATTAATAAGATAATTGCCACACCTTCCTAGTCCTGGCTGGTACCTGCCAGCGTTCTCCCTCATGCTGGGAGACATTTGGGAATATAAGTGGCCAGAGTTAGTTCTAGTCCTGCCACTTTGGGGGAATGAAGCACAGCTCTCCTTAATTTCTTGAAAACACCTTCTAGACATTCCCCTCTCCCTTGATGGCCCAGATGGCTTGGCTTTCCCAAAGTCCCCGGTAGGCTACCCAGCCATGGCCTCTGACCCTCTCAGTAGCTCACCTATCTTGTCCTCGGCTTGGCTGCCCTCCGAAGCCTCCGTGGGAGGCTGGGTTGTTGCCTTGGTGGCAGCATCCTCTGCAGCAGGGGTGGTGGCAGCAGCAGCAGTGACAGCAGCAGGCACATCGGCTTGTTTAGGCTCCTCCTTGGCTGGGGCATCTTCCGCCTTGGAGGACGGCGAGTTGTCAGTGGAAGCTTTAGTGGCACTTTCTGTCTCAGCAGGGCCGGCCTTCTCCTCTGAGGGGGCAGGAGCCTGGGGAGCTGCCTGCTCTGCTGCAGCATCCGAGGCGCCCTCCCCCTTCTTCTCCTCAGAGGGAGCTTCTCCTGCTTTACCGGCCTCCTCAGGCTTGGGGCCAGTGGCCGCTTCAGTGGCAGTGGGACCTTCTCCCTCCTTCTTCTCGGCGCCATCAGCAGCAGGAGCGTCATCCTTCTTCTCATTCATCTCGGCCTCAGCAGCTTGAGCGTCGCCCTTCTTCTCTCCTTTGAGCTTTTTCCTTGTTATGTGTCCACGGAAGCTAGCCTGGATTTTGGTTGCGGCCTTATGAGCTTTATCTTCTGGTTTGATGCCATCTTGTTCGATCTTTTGGTCCTCATCATTCTTTTCAACCTTTGTGGAGAAAAGGGGGAGAAGGGGAAGGAGAGGTTGAATGATACTTTTCCCCTTAAGATCATAGCATTTAACAAATAGTTATTGAATGACTCCTTCTGTGCCAAGCACAGACATCAACAATACTGTGGAAATTCAAATTAAGCCTCCTCTCTCTTCATGGTGGAGAATTGAGTAGAAAACACATTATTTTATGGGAAAACATATCCTTTTGGCCTTGCAGAATCACTGGCATGAATTTAGATGTATTTCCTTCCCCAGCTCCATGTCTCTACATTGCCAAATTTCCACCAGCCATTCCATAGATGTAAGTTGGCTATTCAGATCACATCCACTCTAGATTTTAATCAAAAAGCTCTGAAAGATATTGTTTTTTCAGGGTTTCTGAGAGGAACTCTGTACAAAACTTCACATTTAAAAATATTATGGAAAAGTCTGTGTTGTTGTTTTCCTCCTCCCAGTATATCAAATCTGGTCAAGAAATCAATAGATTCAGGGCAAAGAGTATGGTAAAAGTTTAGACAACAAATTCTCTCAAAACTGCCTGGTACTAGCACAAGAACAGACAAATAGATCTATGGAAAAGAATAAAGAACTCAGAAATTGACCCAAACCACTGTGCTTAATTAATATTTGACAAAGGAAGCAAGAGCATAGAATGGAGTCAAGATAGTTTCTTCAATAAATGGTGTTGGGAAAATTGGACAGATATATGTAAAATGAAACTAGACCACCCACTTACACCATACCCAAAAAATAAACTCAAAATGAATAAAGGACTTAAACATAAGATGGGAAGCCACAAAAATACTGGAGGAATCCACAGGCATCAAAATCTCAGTCATATTCCAAAGCAATTTCTTCACCGATACAGCTCCTAGAATAATGTGAAATAAAGAGAAAATAAACAGATGGGACTACATCAAAATAAAAAGCTTCTGCACCACAAAAAAATAAAAATAAAAATAAATAAATAAATAAATAAATAAAATAAGGCCCGCTGTATGGGAAAACATATTTGCCCATGTTATCACCTATAAGAGTTTAATCTTCAACATTTATAGGGAACTCATACTACTCCACAAAAGGAAGATAATCCAATCAAAAAAATGTGCAACGGAGTAAATAGACACTTTACAAAAAAAGACATAAACATGCTCAGAATCACTAATCACCCGAGAGATACAAATCAATGAAAACGACAATGCAGTACCATCTCAACCCTGTCAGAATGGCTATCATCAACAAATCAACAGATGGCAAGCACTAGCAAGGATGCCGAGTAAAAACCCTTGTGCACTGCTGGTTGTAATGCAGACTGGTACAGCCACTGTGGAAGACAGTACCGAATTTCCTAAAAAAACAAAAAACAAACAAAAAAAACCCCTAAAAATTGAACTCCCATTTGACCCAGTGATCCCACGTCTAGAAATATATCCCAAGAAACTAAAAACACCAATCAGAAAGGATATATGCACCTCTATGTTCATAGCAGCACAATTTACAATAGCTAAGATTTGGAAGCTGCCTAAGTGCCCATCAGCAGATGAATGGATTAAAAAACTGTGGTACAGCTACACCATGGAATACTTTGCTGTGGTAAAAAAAAAAAAAAAAAAAAAGGAATTAGTACCATTTGCAACAGCATGGATGGAACTGGGAAGCATTATGCTAAACAAAATAAGCTAGATAGAAAAAGATAAATATCACATGATCTCACTCATTTATGGAAAATAATGAACAACATAAACTGATGAACAAAAACAGATCCAGAGAACCATTTTTCAGACCCTGAAACCTCAGAGGGAAAGTAGGGGTGGGTGGGGGTAAGGAGGAGAGATCAATCAAAGGACTTGTATGATTGCATGTAAGCCTAACCAATGGACACAGATAACAGGGGGTGAGGGCATGAATGGGGGGAGGGGTTGGGGGACAATGGGGAGATAAAGACATATATGAAATACCTTAATCAATAAAATAAAATAAAATAAAATAAAATAAAATAAAATAAAATAAAATAAAATAAAATAAAATAAATCAGGATTTTTTACAACTGCAAAGGAGTTCAGGGCTTTGAGGGTTTCTGCTTAAAATGTGACAATTCAGAATACTGGTCACAAAATGATGTCTACTTTCCCCTATGTATGGTCCAACGTTAATAATCAGCACACTAATCTGATCTTCACAATTTGAAGACAGAAAGTGGCCTTGTTTTTTTAATTCTTGTTTAAAAAAAAAAAAGAAAAAGAAAAACACCGTTTCCACTTTTGAAAAAGTGGTATATATCCAGCAAATCACAATTTCTTATTCCCAAAGCAATTTAAACCTAAAATTAGTTTTATGTTATTACCGATAGTCATTCTAGTACTGAAAGCAAGAGCCTAAAATACAAAATTTTTATCATTTGATGCAACATTTACAGCATAATATGCTGCATATAACTTTTTTCCACAAGGAAATTAAATCAGAGGATAGGCATAAAAGGTATATTCATGGAAATAAATATACAGTATGGACAGGTATCCTAAATCCATATAGCTGCATTGCTCACCATGTGCCCCACTGGTGTTGCTTATAGTCTTGGTGCATTCCTTCCTTTAACTCTGGAGCACTGGGGAAATACAATAGTGAACGATGCAACAAGTTTCCTTTTAAAAATCCAATAATAGCCCTACCTAGTTTGGCTCAGTGGATTGAGTTGAATGACAGGGCTCAGGTTTGATTTCTGGTCAAGGGCATGTACCTCAGATGTAGGCTCATTCTCCAGCTGGTTGGGGTGGGCATGGGAGGCAACTAATTGATGTCTCATATCCATGTTTCTCTCTCTCCCCATCCATTCACTTTCTCTAAAGATCAATGTAAAAAATATACTTGGATGTGGATTAACAACAACAAAAAGAGTGCTGAGTCCTATGGTTGGCTTCAATCTTGACTTTGGCCTGACTGTGGCCTTTGCTCCAGTTTAAGAATAAGCTACAGCAGGCCAACACAGTGGTACATTTTCCACCTGTCGTACCAGCTCTGCCCCAGTGACCTAGATCTAGCTAATCATGATGTAGGCCTGTCTGACATAATTTGGACAAACATATGAGCCTGTTGTTAGGTAAATTCATCAATGTGCAGTGGATATACAAAAGTATTTTAAAAAAATAAACTATATACCCCTGTTTCCCCGAAAATAAGACAGTATCTTATATTAATTTTTTCTCCCAAAGTTGCGCTAGGTCTTATTTTCAGGGATGTCTTATCTTTCCATGCACTAGGTCTTATTTTTGGAGGATGTCTTATTTTCGGGGAAACACGGGTATGACTGTAAAAGCAGGACTGACAATGTTCTGGTAAAATCCAAGACAATCTCTTCTTCTTCCTCGGGTAACTATGTGTATAACCACACAAAGAAAGGACTGACTGAAAAGCACTTTGCACGGGCCCATCCTGCTCCCTCCTCCAGGGACCATGATGCTGCACTGCTCAGTTCTCTGATGCACTACCCCCTTCCCACTCTCCTGCTGCTCCTGAAGACTCCTACTGGGGCACACGGAACAATCTGGGGCCCGGGAGCAGCTGTCCCTGCCAGGCACTCTCTGCTCAGAGATAGAAGCATAACCCTGTTAAATTAACAGTTGTGAATGGAGCGTGGAGCTGAGATGCTGTTAATTTATTTACTCTATCTTGAGTTTTCTGAAGGAGGCACCATCTTATATGACAGGACATCTGCACTTGGGCATTGATGCCAAGTGGTTCTTCAATACAAATAAATGCTCCTTGAGACGTAGACAATCCAATTATCTCAGAGAGGGCAGGTGTGCAGAAAAAGACCCTACAATTTTAGAGCCCCACTCCCCCTTTTTTTTCAGAACATAAAGTGAAGGAGCTGGAAAACAATAAAATAAGGAACCTGGGAATCTGCATGATATAAAGAAAGAAACTTGATGTGGATAAAGGAAGAGCTCTACTCAATGCTTCTGTTCCCATTTCAATTTTTCTGATCATCTGCCACTTTACCTTTCCAAATGATTAGTATTTAAGCTTCTGTAACAGCCTCTACATTGAAGTGATTATTTAGAAAGGCACAGAGTAGATTTAGGTGCCAAGATTGTGGGACCAGATTTACCTGAACAATCCAGGAGTCTAAGAAACACAAGAGCGGAAAAGGTAGGCAGGAAGGAAGGGAATTATAAAAGTTGAGTTAGAAGTGAGAAGTGAAGATTATTCTGTAAAAGGTAGGTGACCAGATGGGTTGATACACCCAAAGAGATGCTCAAAATCCTCCTTGGGCATGTAGCTCTACCTGGAAGAACAGGCTGGACCATTTGATGTCGTTAGAAATTTAGAAAAGCTAGATTTTAGAGATTTTTTTGGAAAAAGACAACTATTACAAATATTTTAGATAGAGGGAGACAGGGATAGAAAGAGAAGAAGGAAAAAAGGGAGGAGGAGGAAAAGAAGGACAGAAGAGGAGAGGAGAGAGGCAGAAGTAGAAGGGAAATGGAGGGAAGAAATCAACCTAAGAAGTCAGAGTTAAGTAATTTAATAGAGGCATCTAGAAACAAAAATATTTTAAAAACTGGTCATAGTCCTTTAACATTAAAAATAGTGCCAGATTATGTTTCTGTGTGTGTGTGTGTTTAAAAACAAACAAACAAACAAACAAACAAACAATAAAAAAACACACACTTGTAATTGATTCTATTAATATAGCTTAAACTAGAGGTTATTTTCTGGTATAATTCATTTCACAGTACTAAAAGTAGTTGGACTGAGAGCACAGTTTTGTAGAGATGAAGGAAGAAGAGAATCTTTCCTAAGACTAGCTGTGGAGGCAACCCCAAGATGTCAGGCCAAATTGAGCTTTCTTAACAAGAAACAGAAACCCTGGCTGGTGTGGCTCAGTTGTCCTGTGCACCAAAATGTTGCTAGTTCAATTTCTGGTCAGGACACATGCCAGGTTGTGGGCACATACCGGTAGGGGGCATGCAAGAGGCAGCTGATAGATGTTT